AACGCGGTCCACGCGTTGCCCTCCTCGGCGTTGCATGCTGGGAAATGTAGTCCCCGCCTCCCTGGGCGCCGCCATTGCCGCCGTATCTCTGGCTGTCTCCCTTCAGCCGTGCCTCCACCTCCCCTGGGCCTGAGGGGAAGCGGGTAAAACTGAGAAAGAGGGGAAAACCGACACAAATTCAACAGGTAACTGAGCCTCAGAACCCTTCCCGCATCATTTCTCCTCAAACGAAATCTTTGTGAGAACAATAAATGGCATTACCGCGGAAGCGGCGGCCAGTTTTGTGAGGTGTTTCGGTACCAGCGTGAAAAGAAGCCAACGTACGTCCCTGCAGCGCTGAGCCTGGGTGTGTGGAGTGACGGCACTTGTGAAATAGGAGCGGGAGAGGAGAGACCTGAACGCATCGCGTGCGGGGTGGTGCAGAAAGCAGGCGCACTTAGGCCGCTCCAAATAACCTCTCCAGACCTCACTCACGTCCTCTACCTTCAAGAGAAGGTATTATTTGCCTTAAAATGGACGCACGCCCAGCTTTTCAGAGGACCTGTTGCCCCACCTTCCCTTTCCCCTGCCCTGTCCCCTTGCCCGCAGTCACGGAGCAGGACGGAGGCGGCGATGGTTGTCCTGTGGAAAGGAAGGGACACTGTACACGGGTTGTCCCTCAGGCCTGTCCGGTTGCGGACGCTGCAGGTGAAGGGGAGCAGCCCCGGCTCCAAAACACACGGTCCCATTTTACAGGGAGCTTGGGACACGTGGCGTGGCTCCAGCAGGTCGTGCACCCTCTCCTCACGTAAGGGTTTGCAGACCTCTGCTGTCGTGCCAAGTCCCTGGCAGATGCGCTCTGCCAGATCTCCCTGTGGTGGTTTCAGAGGCTGCCGTCTCCGGCTGCAGGGCTTATCACATTGGCTCCAGCATCCTCAGCGTGACGCAGAGGCGTAAAGGCCTCGTCAGGGGAGCCCACACCTCCAAGACATCCATGTCCCTGTCTGCCTGGGACCTGCCACCCACCAGGTTCACACGATGCTCCTCGTTCCTGGCTTAGACAACATGGCACTTGCTCCCTCTCCAACCGCCCAGGATCTCAGAGATTCCCATCACACCCCCGTTACTGTTGTTGTTCCAGCCTGGAGAGGCTCGGGCTGTGCCCTCACTCCAGCTCCCCGGTCAGCCCTGTCCCCTCCCTGAACATTTTCCTTTCAAGCAACAGTTTTTACAGTTTTACATGAGCAGTTACCACCACTATTAGCAGCTCCGCGGCTCCACCCTGGGTTCCTGGGTGTGGGGTGGCTGCGTCCCCATGCTGCCCACAACACAGCACACCAGGCCAAGCCAAAGCAAGCCAGGCAGCGCTGCCAAAGACCGGCATGGGCAACCAGAGCATCTTCCCTGCCTCTCTTCTGCTTATTTGTGTGTGCCCTCAGTGCCCGCAGGGACAGGTGGGACACCGTCACTGTGAGATCTGGCGAGGATAACAGTATGCAGACACCCCCCAGGCAGGACAACACATCTTTAATGCTCCAAAGGACTTGGCAAGAGGAGATGCAGCAACATGCAAAGGGGATCCAGCCCAGGCAGAGCTGCAGTGAGTTTGCAAAGCGGAGCTGCGTCATTCCCATGCCTCTCGCCTGCTCAGCTAGCCAAGGGCACGGGCAGGGGACCAGGAGGCATCTGACCCCATCAGGCACACAGCTGGATGTAGCTTTCTTGTGACCAGAGCCAAAAGTATGGGAAGACCTTCTCGCTGAAGGAGGCCTTCAACTGCAAGATCTGCACCATGTTCTTTGCATTGTAGAAGGTCACTTCGCCCGCTTCGTAGTCCAGGTGGACCCTGATCTTCTGGGGCTCTTCATTCAGTACCAGCGGGGTGGGGGGCATGTGGAGCACCGTGTACTGGCGATCCCAGCCCAGCCGCAGGGCCCAGATCTTCCCCATGGCCTTGCTGAGCGAGTCCTTCCTCCGCACGGACTCCACGGCCACCCCCACGGCCCAGCTGTCCCCGTTCCCTACCTCCAGCTCCCAGTAATGCCTCCCGGCCACGAACCCCTGGGAGCCCAGGACGCTGGGGCTGCCCGTGAATCTCTTGGGGGTGTCGGGGAGGTTTTGCTCTTTGTCTCCCAGCCGCACGGTTTTGCGGTCCCTCGAAAGGATCAGGTACGGACTCGCCGTCTCCGGGTCCAGCGTCACCCTCACTAATACACGACAGAGAGAAATGTCAGTCCATTGCCCGCCAAGGAGCAAACCAGCACCTCTCCCTCCTCTTCCACGGGGCTGGGACACGTCCTGCGAGCACAGCGGGCACGCATGCCCCGTGAGTGCACGCACACGGTGCCCACAGCCCCCTTGGGCAGCACGGGACACGGGGCACTCACTGCCCTCCACGCCAGGACCTGTGGGCAAAGAATGCTCCCTGAGGCAGGACAGAGCCAGGCAGCGTCCCCGCGCGCAGGGGACAGATGCAATGGGCTTTGCTAAACCTGCTTTGCTAATCCCGTGCTGGATATTGCTGGGGCTAAGCGTGCTGGGGCTGCAGCCAGGCTGGGCGTGGGGGGGCAATATATCCCCGTGGGTGTGAGGAAGCATCGCCTGCAAGGCAGCAGCGTGCCAGGCCAGTCCCTGCTCAAGTGACAAAGGGAAAAATGCTCACCAAAGGGAAAACCAGCTCCCGACCCCGCTCCAAGGAGCAATCGGGCAACGTCACTGCAGAGCAGGAGCCGCCTGTTCATGCGGGATGATCTGCTGCCATCCCGCGGCCGTCCCACAAGGCCACAGAGGCGTCACTGCGCAGTGCCACCACCCCAGGCCCTCTGCTAAGCCCACTCCTCCGGGGCCCCGGCTCACGGTGGGGACCCCAGCGTGAGGGAAACCGAGGCACGCCCATCCTGTGCGCCAGGTCCCTCATCCCAAAAACTGAGAGGACAGAGACCACCCTCAGCACAAACGGCGCCAGCCAGCCCCGAGCCCTGCGATGCTGCCAGCGCCGCATGGACCCCGGGCATCTGCAAAGGCATTTCTGATCTGTGCCTAAAAGCCAGCTCAAAATGTGTACGGCCCCTCTGCTTAACTAGTCACAGTCTTTGCATCGCAGCAGCAGAAGATAAAGTCTCCAGAGACAGGGAAGCCGAGGGCCTCGTGCTGTCGGGCGTTAGAGGCCAGCGTCGCTGGGTGTTGCCTGGCGTGGGCACGGACCCGGGGTTTTTATAGCAGGCCCAGTCAAAATGAAGGGACCTGGCTCTAGAGAGACCCTGGATTTAGCTCTTGTGGTGTGAGCCCATCTCTGCCCCCAGAACATAAGGAAACTCATTCTGGAAAGCTTTTCTCCCTTGTTTTTGGAGCTGATGGGCACAAACTCACCCATTTCTCCGTCCATCTCGCTCAGCAGGTTCACTAGAAGAAGGAAAGAAAGATGCATGAGTCTCTCTCCTCCTGTGGGATCTTTCCTGCTCTCCATCAGGACAGCAAGCCAGACGTGGCGCCTGTTCCCCAGCAGCCCTGGGCTCCAGCAGAGCCCATCTCAGAGACGGGTCCTGTCTGCAGTGTTTGGCTCCCAAATCCCAGGCAGAGGCCGTGGGCGGTGACGATCTCCCACTGCAGCCGAGCTCAGTGGGAAGCACGGCGTGGACACAGCAGTGCCTGGTGCCCTGGAGCAGCAGCACGCCCGCCTGGGGCCCAGACACCGGCTACACGGCAAGGCATCGCTTGCCGCTTCTTTGCTTTACCTTTGAATTTGGCCACTGCACCCACGACCAGCTGGCTCATCTCAGAGAGGCTCTGAACGGTCCTCTGCAGCTCCGGGGAAACCGGCTTTGGGATCGGGGCCTTCGCCGCCTCGCAGCTGAGGGGGGAGGACAACACGGAGAGGAGCTCTGACCTCAGCAGCCAGGGCCAGGAGAGAAACAGGGACAACCCCCTAGAGTGAGAGGAAACCTCCGGCCGCAGAACTCAGGGGAGCTGCGTCCCAGGTACCGGCACGGAAACCCCATCCCTAACAGGGGTGCAACGACCGCTTGCTGCCGATAACATCACGTTAAATCCCAGAGACTTGGCAGGGCAAAGCCACCTCCCTCCCGGCGGCAGTGCTTGGCCGCCTGCAGCATTTCCAAACCTCTGCCCGGAGAGAGGGGGAGAAGAGCGACCCCAAGCCCGTTTCGTACCTGCTCAGGGTTTTGCCAACATCCTGGAAGAGAGGAAACACCAGGTCAGCTCTGGCGCTGCCGAGAAGGACTGCGGCCCCCGGCACCGAGTCACAGTCACTCCCCTGCTGTGTGCAGCGGGGCGATGGGGACGGGGGGGTCACACCACTCTCCTGGGGACTCTCC